TTTTTTTTTTTTTTTTTTTTTTGCTAAACTGACAAAGTTATTTCAAATTCAGCCATTTCCATCAACCCTTTCTAATGTGATACTTCAAAATGTGCATAAAAAATGTTTTTTATTAGAAAATATATTTTTAAAATTATGTAATACTTTCCTTCCTTGCAATTATGCAGTACTCTGTGTTGGTCTATTATATCAATTCCTAATTACACACATTAAAGTTGGTTGTAATGAAAGAAAAGTGAAACAAAATTCAAGAGGTATGAATACTTATGGAAGGTACTATAGACTTGCAGCTGCTGGTGGGACAAAGTGTGGCATAAAAACTCTTTAATAGCCCTGACCAACACTTTCTAGCATTTCACTGTACCTTTCTAAGTGTCCCATAAATCAGGTCAATGAAAAACCTGAATGGCTTCCAATTAGGACATCATTTTAGATATAATTTGCTGTAATGATTCAAGACTTTTAAAATGATATTCAGAAGCAGACAGACGTAGTTTCGAGGTAATTTATCTTCGTGGCTATAGCTGCTTTCTGCCACGTGACCTAATCGGGGAAAAAAGGTGAAGAGTTTAACCATCAACCAACTTCAGAATGACAGTATTTGTCCAGCCAAGGTCTCCAGACACACACAGAGCTGCAGACAGACTTCTTCCACAGAGGAAGGTCACGAACTATAACACAATAGCGAACGTGGCGATAAGAGTTCACCGCAGAGACCTTCTCTAAGCACGACTTATAGGAAAATTATCATTATTAGGCTTCTTATCAGTCTGGGTATTTTGATAAAGGCACATTAACTGAACTTCTGTCTGGTATGGAAACCTGCTTCAAATAGGAGTAAACGGGATGAAAACGTACAGGAAGTAAAAGAGGAAGTCTGCGTCTGGAAGATTGCTCACCTTAAAGCCTAGCAGCGGAGGTCTGGAGCAGCTGGTGACAAACTTTAACAGTTTGCGCTTTTCTTCATCTGTAAATCCTTCAACCACTTCCCAGAAGATCTGAATAACAGGGTGGTTAGCAGAGTATCCACCTAAAAGAGATTATTGAACAGAAACCACATTACTACCTCATGTTGTCCATGATCAAAGCCTAATTAAAGAAAATAAGTGAGTGTAGAAAAATGAAAACTGTACAAATGCAACACATGAGATGTAGATCAGCTTTGGGCCATAAGGTCCATTAGGAATCCAGAGTCTAATTTTATAAAAATAAAGACATGTAAAGACAAAATTTATATTTTGAAAGAGATATCTGAGCATTAGCTAAAAGGTTCCAATAGTATTGTGGAGCTTATTTTTGCAATTAGATAATTTTTTGTACTCATTCCTTCAGTTTTACTCGCAAAACACGTGAGGTTTATCCACACCAATCCAATAATGCAACAAAATAAAACAGAGGGGCTCAATTTATAGACCTTTTTGTTAGCTCAGCTGCCAAAGAGTTTTTAAATGTTAATTTCCTAATAAATAAATAAATAAATAAATATCTATGCTTCAAATAAGGGTTCAGCAAAGCTTTTGAAATTAAGCTAACACTTGAGCTCTTCCTATGTCATACCTATGAGATTGCTTTCATAGCTCAACTCCTATTGTTTTGGCAACATTTACCTACATTACTGCATTTTGCAAGTTTTCCTAAGATTGTGCAGCCCTAATAAGAACCTACCTGAATAGTTTGTGAAGTTTTTCAGATCATCGAGACAAATCGGAACATGAGCCCCAGATATCAGCACCTGACAGGATGAGGCAGGAAACATGTTTCTTTAGATGTACGCTATAAAAATAAAATCTCATCTTTCTTTGGTTCAGTAATTCAGTACCTGGATTTCCTGCTGATCAAACATGCGCAGCCACTCAAGGTTGACCACATTGGCCAGACCCTGTCTGAAGGCCAGGCAGTGAGGCCTGATCTGTTTGTTGAGCCTGTAGTCAGCCACTAAATGGATGTAAGCTATCCGGTTGGCTGTTGTCACTGGGATATCTTTTCCTCCTGGCTTCAGTTCAACCACCTGGAACAGACACAAACGAGGCATTTACGGAGCTGTAGTCATTACCGGGGTTTCTGCGCATTTATGTTGAACTTTCAGGCATGGTTCTCCATAGTTTCCTCAGTTCTTTGTAGTCCATTTGTAAAGTAAAAATACAACAATTCTACAACAAATATTGTTACAGTGCTCAGAATGTAAATACTGAACCTGAAGAAAAGAAAATGAAAGAACAAACAGAAAAAAGGAAACAGGAAAAGAAAAGAAGAAGAACTGGTATAATGATGGACGGTAAACAAACTAAAAAACAGAGTTATAAATAAATCTCCATGAATTCAAAACTAGCACATCTGTTGATGAGCTCAGGTTGAAAAATGCTTTAAAAGATATTTGTTCATCAAACCTACAGAAAGCACTAATCAGGACCCCCATGATGCATTCTCAAAAAAAAAAAAAAAAAAAAAAACCAAAAAAACGAACACTAGGCTTCAGTGCAGCAATGCTGAGAACACACTGGCATTTAACGTAATGGGGTCCATCTAATCTGTTCATTCCCGTAGTGCTGCAAACTCCACCTTTCAGGAATCCATTTTCTGCCTTTTCTCCCTCCCACCAGATTCTGATTATGTGCTAATGTAAGAGAATTACTGCTGTTATCTTGCTTGCTTTGGCTATCTCACAAGGGCAAATGCAGGGCAGACTGCTCCCGGGTGTGCCTAATCTTCCACAAATTGTTTTCCTCCATTGCACTCTATTTGGTGACCAGAAGGGCCACATTGTAACTCTGCTGTTTCAGGTGTTGTTTGAGAAGAGCTAATAAGACACGTTAAGGTCCTGAGCAAACAAGGGCTCCCATGTAAAGATCGGGTCTGAGCACAGCTTTTGGAGAGAGAGAGAGAGAAGGAGACATGCTTAAGAGCTGTTGGCTGCTTCTGTCATGCGTGGCGTGAGATAATTTGTGGAGCGAAAGGCAGGCCGGAACGGTCAACAGAGCTGCTGCGTCCTCTGCACTGCAGCAGGGCTTGGAGCGACAGCGGTGACGTGCTTTATCTCTGTCAGGGCCGAGAAGTGGTGCATCAGGCGGGAAATGAATTATTAACGCCACAAAGAGAAACCAAACAGGAGAAAGAAACAGAGCTGAAAAATAAACACACAAGAGCCGCTTGTCGTACTCGGTTGGTCGAGTTACCTGAGCTTCTCCCAGGTCGTTGTTGACCACAGTGAAGTTGAGACCCAGTTCTTCCACATCGCCCTCGTAGCTCTTGAGGAACAGCAGGTTGCGATACATCTCAGGGTCTAAAGAGGCAAGGTGATGGATGTCCACGTCTGCACTGGTTCCCAGAAGTTTGGACAGGAAGAAGCTGGCGAAGGGCAATTCCACCAGCATGTTCTCGTAGAGAGCCTGAGGAGAAACACCAACGTTAGTAACGAAGCCCTCAAAGTTTTTTTTTATTTTGTCATGTTAAATCCTCAAAACGTGATGTTTTTGAGTGATAGGTCAACACAAAGCAGTGCAAGACTGTGCATGGTTTTCACATTTCTTAAAATAATAATCTCAAAAGTGCGGTGTGTAAATTAATTCCACCTCTCTGAGTTGTATAGAAACACCTTTATAGTGCAATTCTCCAACCTCTGAGGACTTTTCACTTTTAATCCTAAAGGCAATTTGTTGCACCGGATTTTATTTAGGTGCATCAAAATAAAAAGAATTGATAAGCATCAATCATTTTTCTACTCCACAATATTACATTATTTTGAGTTGATCCTTTGCATAAAACACCCTTAAATCTGAGGTTAAGTGACAGAATATAAAAACGCCCAAATGGTAGAAATATTTTTTGCATCAGTTGAACTATACGGACAATAGTTTGCGTCAAGCACTGTCCGATAAGAAAATATTCAAACTTCCTGTTGAACACCAAAGTTTTACAGCAGTCAAGCTAAACCGATCGCAGCGTTTGTGATCAAAACAGAGTCCAATCAATCTTGAACACGGATCTTCGGCTTCTTCCTCCCTCGATTCAAACTTTATAAATGTCGATTCTCACCTTGACCCTAAATGCAATTAAGAAGTGCAGCCGGGCAGGTGACTCATAAAACCTCTAAGCTAATGTACTGGAATAGTAGAAAAAGAGCCTATTGGAGACTTTAAAATATACAGGTCCTTATAAATGATAGCGCTAAAAACCCCGACTGCATCAGCTAAATGGATTATAAATCTAGAGGATTTCCATAATGCATGCATCTTAAACACACACAAATGCATAAATCACAGATATTTTCTAAACACAGGTTAACTGCGCAACTTCAAACATTGTCTATTTTTTATGCAAAATAATCCACTTAGTGTTACTCTCGTGGCCGGTACTAATTTCAGACCATATGCGCTGCGTGGCCCCTTGAAACCTATCAATAACACTTGTGCCGGGAAGAGGCAGCAATAAGTATATGGAGAAAACTTGTAGCCTTATTTTTTCAATGCCACCAACCTTATTTATGAGTGTTTATTGCCAGAAATTGTGCCAAAATGACTCGGGTTGGAAAGAATTAATTATTATGGCCCGGAGCCTTTTAATATAAGTGAGTGCAGTGGCAACGCAATTAAAGCAGATCGTGGCACCATCAGGTGGAATAAATGCCAGCGGCATTGCAGGTGCGTTCTGTTAGCTGCCAAATAAATTCCTTAATTTACAACATTATGAATCAATAAAATTATAATGCCTTTCACACGCATCTTTATCAATCAGAGCAGCAAAGCTTTCACGCGTCTGCAGAGAGGATGCCGGGCTCGAGGAGGATCAGAGCGATTACGAAGTGAGAAGAAGTGCCGCTGATGAGGGCGGAGGTTTGGCGGTAATGAGACGGGAAGAATCTCTCACGGCTCGCACCAGGACGCATACGAAAAAGAGGAATCTTTAGGCCAAAGCCAGAAATGCAAAGCAACCCTCTGTGTATGTTTTCAATGTGTGTAGCTTAAATCTTTCAGCTTGTCAGCGGGGTGGACAAGTGAGGAAGAGGGATGATGGCCGGCCTCTATTCTGATGCTCAATCCCATTTCAGTGAGTACCCCCAGACAAGCCACTCCCGCCTGTAATACATCACCTCCACAACAATGGCACGCCTCGGACATTAATTAAGAATATTAATCTCCTGTGTCCTTTGAGCCGCAATGTGCACCGCGCGCGCTGCGGCAGCGGTGATGCAATTTCAATCCATATAAACGGCTCGCCTTTCATCCAGGCAATAACGGGCACTAAACAAATATCAATACGCCTCTCAAATGGCCACTCAAACGTCCATTTTTATGGAGAAAGAGGGACTTAAAGGTAGGGTTAATTGAAAGTCAAATTCAAATTAATTTCCCTCAGCCTAATTGTCCCCGACCATTAGCTACAGAGAGCACAGCGCGATAGATGCAGGAACTGTGGGAGCAGATTGATTGCTTCTCACTTCAACAGAACACAGAGAAGAAAAGGAAACAAGAGGAGGAGGAGCAGGAGTTACGGCGCTCCGGTAAGTGGACCACACCGTCCGAGACTGTTTAAGAGAGAAGAGCCCTGGATGTTCCTGACTGTAAAACAGATCAAAATGCTATTACCACATGCTTTGAACTCTTATTTATGTCCTGTCTTTGTGAGGCCGTTGATTTAATGCTGGCCAAATGCAGTCGCTACACAAACAAGAGGTAGGAATCATCCGCTAATGGAAGCCCTAATTGAGAGGCGACCGCTTGTCATGAGGTAATTCCTCTTCGTGTTGAGATGATAGCTCCCTCATGAGGAAGGCATCTTGATAAACAATCATCACCACTTGCATTAGGGATGATTTAAAAACATTAGGCTCTAATAAACAGCTGCATCAGAGGAGTAAAGGAGCAGGCAGACGTCATCTTACTGCATAGTTAAATTCCAACTGGAACCGCTAAACCTAATTTTATTCAAGAGTTTAAGAAATGTAAGCTTTTGGAACAAATAAAGTCTAATTTTATACAAAAACACTGCATGATCTTTACATTGTCACATCTAACAAAGAGATCCACTGATCATAATTTTGTCAAGTCTATCTGAACAGCACATTTCAGCTGCCAGGGAATTCAAAAACGTAAATATTTCCAAATTCACGTTAGAGATTCTTTTTTTAGCCTTAGTATGATAAAATATTGCTCTCTTTAGCATCACATTTTCCTTTTAAATTGTTTCTTAAATCAGTGTGCTTCTTCTAACTTAATTATACATTTTCTCGCTTACACCAAAATAGCCAACTTTGATCCTTCTTTCCTCGGTAATAACATCCACACTGAAAAGTGTAGTAGTTGGTGTTTCCTGACAGTGGCCAACTGCATTCACTGGTCAGATTCTTGAGTTTCTATCCGGCCACCTTTAATCTGACACACTCACCTTTCCAAGGATCCTGCCCAGGAAGTAGTAGTGTCTTGTGAAGGAGTCGCCCACCAGCATCTCTGCAGCAGGATTCGGATACAACAAACCCTCGTTGGTGGTTTTGAAAAAGCCCTGGTTGGGATTGAAGCCCGATTTGAGAAGCTCGTTGAGGAACTCGCGAAAGATGCCGCCTCCGTCGATGCCTGCCTCATCCAGACCGTGAGCGTTGAGAAGGTGGACTCGAATCCTCTTCTTAAGGTCCGGTTCTGATTGAGTAACAAGTCAAAAGAAAACGAAGAAAAAGAAGGATTTATGACCGTCAGTCTTGAGCCTTTTAAAACATATTTTGTACTTAATTTACCCTTTCATTTGTTTAAAAGCAATTTCTAGCAGGGACATTAGCAATCTGGCTATTTACCTTCCGAGCTTATTGTGGTTATAGTTATTTTTCTTCTAAATAGACCTCAGGAACAGGAAACCTCAATTGATTTTAAAGCTGCTGTTTGTATAGTTGTAATGTGTTAAGTTAAATAACTTTTCAAAAGCACAAAATTTAAATTATTAAATGTTACTGTTTGTCATTTAAATTGTTTTTAATTGCTAGAATGTTTCCATTCCTCTTACAAACCTTACTGCTTTTCATTGTAATTTTAATGAAAAGACCCAAACACAGCAGGGAGCACAAACTGTGAGGTAGAAGAAAATTATACTTTGTTCACAAATTTTTCACCCAAATAAAATCCTGAGAACCTTTTGGATTATATGCAAAACAATGTGAGTAACCGCGCACCTTATGATCTCCACATCAACCGGTAGGAATATTTAGTTGAAGGATAAAGTTTAAGACTTTCCCAAGGCACGGTGAATATTTTGAAAACATCACAACAAAAGAAGAAAAGGCTTTTTGTTTAACAAACATTATTTACAAGACTTGCTCATCCTGACCTACGGAATATTCAGATCAATTCTATACGAGGTTGTTTTCCAGAATAATAAATGTAGAGCGATAAATCAGAGCAGCTTTAACTTATAGACACACAAATGATATAGATCATGTCTTCAACCCAGGTCGCCTACTACTCTTTTTAATCAGAGTGCCCCCATCATCCAAGTACCCTTTCAAACTCAAACTCAAAAGAGGTGACTTAAAATAATTGATTCGGCTTTTATGTGATCCATTATAATAATCAGAATCACAATTATGCTTTACTGAAATTCAATATGCTGCCCGAGGACGGAGGTAACCTTCATCTTCTATGCAAAATCTAACCCTTGTCCTTAATATCGGGGTTTTATATAGCTTAACAAGAGTTTCAGTGGCAGCATGGGCATCTAGTAAACCATCTCAGTCTTATGGTGTTCGTCATCACGGCATAAATGAAAAAAATAAATAAATTACGGAGCAGTTACAGAACGGTTTTCCAGACGTGTGCACGGACTTTTTAAGTCCAACGCAACTGGCAGTGCTTTTACTGAAATGACTTCGACGCTCGCCTCACCGTTTTCTGGGGAGAGTTTATCGTAGGCGTCTTCGTAGATGTAGTTGCGTCTGATGGTGACATTGATGCCGTCGGGGAACGGCCCATCCCCCTGCACGTCACGTTTGTCCACAGAGATCAACCTCTGGAAGATCTGGAGGGAGGACGTACATCCAGCGATGGAGTTGGTAACAAACTACTTTCAGCTGAAATCAATGCAAGCTAAACACAGCTTTATCTATGATCATTATATTGATAGGTGAAGAGGTTTATATTAGCAAAAACCTTTTCTTTAACTGTGACCCATTTATACATCACAAAATAAAAGAAAAAAAAAAAGGATATTTGAGAGGTTTATTTAACTTCACACCTAGTTATTTAACTTTGACACAAGATATAGCTGGTTGATGGACACAGCAAAGGGGTAAGTTGCAAGTAACAATAAAATAACAAACCTTATATTAGACATTAATTTATTATGTATTGATATGACATACTGCACATTGTTTTGACACCAGTAGCATCATGCCTGTTTATGTCAGTGCTGTATGGTAGCTTTTAGCTCCTTGAGGACATAGCCATACTGCGTGCTTCAAATAGTTTTATTACATAAACAAATTAGCTGTTCTTGTCTTGGGGAACACATGGTCCAAATGATGTTCTTGGCGCTGGTGTTAGCTAGCTCGTTAACTATGATGAGCCCTTAAGGTAGCATTTTCTGGTTCAAACATGTTAGGCTGGATGGATGGATGAGTCTTCTGTTGTTGACATTTTTTGTGAAGTGCCTCAGTTGCATTTAAAGAGACGGAACCAAAACGAGTTGCTCTCAGTCGCACCTCAGGACTGGGATAAAAGATGCGCCAAAGGAGATAACGATAACGAGGGATTCAGACTAAAGCATTGTACTTCCACTTTATACAGACCGCAACTGAATGATTTAAATATGGAAAGGAAGGATTTAAAAGCATGAAATTAACATTTATATGAACAGGAGAGTTAGTACTGGAACTCTGAGCTTTTTAAGACATTCCAGAAAACCTTTAAAGGGGTAAATTCATAACGGTAAAACCAAAAAAGGATAAATTCGAATGTTTGATTATGATTCAACTCTTAGGCTAGTGTTGCAGTTTTGTGTAGCGGTGGGATACCTTGACTCGCTCCTCAAATGGAACAACAAAAGGCAACTCTGTGAGGATGGCCAGGTGTCTCTCTTCAGACACAGAGAGCTGCGGAGGCTCAAAACCAACTGCAGAAATAAAACATGCACATCTTGTTTATCAGGACTCGGTGTAGAAAATATCTTTTCAGTCTTTTTTTAAATAAATATCTCAAGACACATGCAGGTAAACTTAAAAGTATTCATAACACAAAGAACTTTAGGTCAGGAAAGCCGGTCAATAATCCAACTAAATCTCGTTTTATGTATTTTCTGTAACTGTGTGCATGAGCTAAATGAGGACTGCACTTTTCTGTCTTTTTTTGATTTTCTAAAACCATCTAAGTTAATGTTTGATTAAATTCAAAGGTTCAAAGGAGGGGAAAAACAGCCCCAATTGCTAAACTGCTCTTTACCCTGGTCGTTCAAATGCAGCTCAATTATTCTGCTAAATTAGTCAACCTGATCTGCATTCTCCCATCAGGTTTCCATCTTTGAGGAAAAATATGGCCTCCGAGTGGTCAATACGTACCTCATTTATCAGCGCTGGGCCTGTCCATTTAAGGAAATGAGAAAAGGCCAGACAAACACATGCACCAGATGTGGCTGAGTTCATCAGGTACTTTCACGCTAATTGAATTTATCTCATACAGGCTCTGAGTGGCATTAGGGAGATCATACACACATTGTTATCTGCCTGTTTTCACACTATATGTCAGAGAAAAGCGCTGTAGTTAAAAGTGGGCCTAATGAGCCCTGCGTGCATCCGTGTTTCCATCTGAGTGTGGCTAAATGAGAGGACCAGCTTGATTTGTATTGGCAAACATAGAGGAAGAAATCACTGATTGCGTGGGCAGGCGAGAGGACCCTAACATCACATAATTATAAACTGCTTAAATGAAATACTTAATGATTCGAATGAGATTAAAAAAGGTTGACGACACAATTGTAACATAAGCTTTGAGTAAGTAGGGACACAAAGTATGGTTTGAGTTCTGTACTCAGAACATCTACAAACAGTTTTTTTTTTTTTTGTGGAATCCATCTTGTACATTTATATCAAATTAAAAAGCTTGACTGTAGCCTATATTACCATCAAGCGTAGACTGAAGAGGCCCAATGCGCCCCATCCTTCTTGTTCTCCACACGTGTCTTGCTGATGGGACATAAAGCTGGGTGACCTACACAGAAATGAAGATGAAGATCATTTTGTGTTGAAGATGAAGAACCATAGTTGCTTTAAGGTTTCAAAGATTACAAGTTTTTCAACATTTTCAGTTTCAAAACTTCCCTAGACTCAAATTTTGGTTTCTTTTTTTTTTTTTTTTTTTTTTAAAATTTGGGAGAAAAGAAAAACTATTTTTTTTTTTTCTTAAAATTTGAGTGAAATTGCAATAGACAGAACAATGTGGTAAACTATTTATCCATATTCTGCTCAGTTTCTCTCAGGTAGACTGTGTGGATAACTCACCTATGACAGAAGACACTTGTAAAAGCACCTAAAGCATACTGCTAATTTTAACAAAATATATATTTTAGTACTTAACCTGCAATTTTTTTAAATGCACTCTATACTTTTTTTTTTTATTTGTTAATCTAAAAGATATTTGAGACGGAAATCAGAGCTAAAGTTAAAGTGCTATGATGCAGGTGGAGCACCTTATCGGCCCGGATGTTGACCTCCTCAGACAGCCAGTGACCCACTGGACAGAAAGGTCGTCTGATGTCACGAGCTTTCAGCATCTTCACCAAGTTAGTGATGACCTGTGTTGTAGATCAAAAAGAAAAGAAGTCACATTAGCATCTTTCACTAAAACAAATATATTCATAATAGTTGAAAACAAAGTGTCCAGTGAAGCCTTTTTGTTTTCTTTTAAATGTCTCTTGAACAGGATGAAGTGCTTCATCGTAGAGGGGGAAAAAAGCAATTTGAGAAGTCAGCCATTAGTGCACCATTTATGGGGAGTATAAAAGAAAAACGACTTGTGCCGTCCCTCAATGTCCAGCCTTGTTAATTACCAGCGAGGTCTGCTGACATCAGCCATCGGACAGAGAACGCCAAGGCTTTACAGCTCAATGTGCTTTGAGTACAAGAGTGGCCGTCTAACGGGACGTTAAAAAGAAGTTAGCTGGCTTTGATGTAATGTTGATGGTTGGTATCAGGAGTTTCTATAAATTATATTGCCATTTTAAAAAATAAATAAAAATCAGAAAAAGGTTTTTATACCGTTACATAATGGATACAAGCGAAGATCAAGTTCTTAGAGCTATAACAAAAAAAAACAAGACTTTCTCATTCAATTATAATAGGCTTCCTTGTTGCTATTGCGAAAAACACATTCAGACACATTTGAATTTGTCACGTATGTCATTGACGCAATAACACTCAAAGCCCGGTCCATTTCCATATGATACCCCAGTTGGATTAGCTCAATCGAAACCCTCCTCTCTGAGGCGTGTCATTTTCATAGAGCGACAATCAATCCCGGCCAATCACCAGGAGCCAACCAGAGTCCGCAATAATGGCGAGTGCAAAATGCTGTAAAAGGTGTGTGGAGATGGGCTCGGAGCAGACCCACCCCCTGACTCTGGGAATGAATAAGCATTCCTTAATTAGCCCATCGGGTTAAGTGCAAACCTTAATGGGCCTTTCCCAAACTCCTCCGTGACATCGCTCTCCAAACATGGCCAAGAAGAAAGTTCCATTAGCAATATTAATACAAGCTTAGTTGATCATTTTCATTCAATTAACTTCTTTCAATTAAATAGATAGCTCGACAATGGGGGCGATAAAAGATGGAGAGGGACGGCTGATGACACGAACCAAACATTAACGTGTTAGGGGTCAGCGGCGTTAAACCAACTGTAAATCCCACTGTTCAATTTGGAAAATGCATTTTCCCTGCTCCTCACTTCTTTAATGGGTCGTTTTAGCTGACAAGAGGCCTTTGAACTGATCTTTTATGAAAACTCCCTCGACGTGCTATTGGAGTATTTGCCACCTCCTTCTAAATGCTTGTGTTCACTTCTAACAGCCAAGAACAAAAGTGACTTAAGGCCCATTTCCTTGAATAAACAGAAGAAAGAAAAACGAAAGAAGGCCTTGAATGAGAGGATTGAAGTCGATCCTGTTTTCAGCCTCATTTTCCCACAGTAAACAACCAGAGCTCGTTGCCTTTGCCCACTCAGGCATATTTTGCCAACTTCCACTAACAGATAATGATCACAGCATCAATGCACATAGAGACTACACAACAATTTAATGACAACAACACACAGATTACGCAGCACACTGTGGAAATAGTGTGTTTAATTAACTAGCAGGATAATCACCTGAAATGTATCCATGACCACTGGGACCTTTTATTCACCTTGAAACTTAAAGGAAACAACAAAAATATTCAATTTCTTTTTTCATTTTGAATCTCTGTTCAGGAATAACCCACAAACCAGGAAGGCTGAATTTTGTCAATAACTGAAAACTGATGGAACATCTCTGACTTGAACAAATTTTATATCACCATGGGATGAGAGGCTGATGACCAAAGTCTGAACTATTCAGGTCGACAGAATTATTCAGTGGAAAAACCAAATCTGGTCAGACGATGACCTAAATGACAAATATTCTATTCGTATGAGTCAGTGTGTGACTTTCAGACTTCATAACACTGTATGAGGTCCTGATCATAGCAGGCTGTATTAGCAGCCTCATGCTGTGGCGCTGTTATGCTTTCATGTTAAGGCTTTTACAGTGGCCGTCTGGGGCTCAGTGGATAAAGTGATGGATTTGAAATTAGCAGGTTGTGGCAGCTTCATACTGCCACATTTACATATTCCCCTTCTCAAGACACTAAACACCAAGTTGCCTACCAATCTGCGTACTAGTGTATACATGCGTGTGTGACTGGGCGAATGTGGGTGTAGAGCAAAGCACTCTCTGTGGTTGGTGTGACTGGAAAAGCATTCCATAAGTTCAGACCATTTACCATTTTTACCATTAAAGAGGGAGACTACCAAGTGACTGAAACTTGGAATTCTTGTTCCAATAGGAAAATAATCCCAAACACACATTGAAGCTAATTTAGAAATGGATAAAGTGGCCTAATATTAAAGCAGTAGTATGTAACTTTTACAAAAATATGCTTTTAACACATTTCTTAAAACTGTCTCCATGTTTTGACAGTATGAGATAGATGTCCTGTGAAGTCATCAAGCTTTAAAGTCAATAAAGAAACCTGTATTAAAAGCTGTCAAACATAAACTATATTTATACATAAAAAAAAAAATCACTTTTAGAAACACTAGGAATTTATAGAATTGTCTAAAAAGACAAAGAAAATCTATTTCTGTAAAATGATCAATCAGAATCTGAAGGCATAAAGGATTCATGCTCAGCTTTAATGAATTAACTATATTACATACCTTGAAGAGCTGCACCCAGCGCTTCTGCTCGGCCTGGATGCGCCGCTGGACCTCGGTGTTCGTCTTGACGCCCACGCTGCGGAAGGCGGCCATGTACTCCTCCCTGTGCTCTGCTTTAGTCTCGGGGTAGGCCAGCTTGATGATTCCCAGGCATGCGTCTCTCAGGCAGCAGGACAAAGTCACCAGCTCAGACAGAGTGAAGGGCATCATGGAGGACTGTATCTGACCTGCTCAGAAGGAGAACGTGCTCAAAGTCTTCTAACGAGCTTCGACCTCTACAAGCTGTTCAAGCTGCTGTAGACAACTCATTTAGTGAACAAGCGATTACTAGAACAAAAAAAGTAATTTAGTAATAGAGTAACTTTTAACTTTAGTATACAAACTCAAAAACAGGTCATTTGCTGAAAGAACAAAACTCTCAGAGCAGCATTGAAGACAAAACTGTAGAAAAAAATATATACCTTGCAATTAAGATGATCAACTTAACTTTTCACACTTTGGTACTAGAAGTGTGGTTTTAGCTGCAAATGCATCCATTGTAACAAATAATCAAGTGTTCACTAAAGAAATCCCATGATACTGCATTTGAGGCAATACTAAGGTTTTTTTTCTTTCTTAGGCATTGAATTTCTTCTTTTGAAAATACATGTATTATTTTCATTTTTTTCTGTTATTTGATGAAAAAAATCTGCATAATGAACCGTTTTTTAAAACAAAATCTGAATAGTCATCAGAATAATCAATCACTAAAATAATCATTAGTTGCAGCCTTAATTTATGGGTATCAGAGTAAAAAGGGCTGAAAGCATACACACACCAGACTTCACTATTTTAGTATTTCCATGATGTGCTACTTTGGTCTATCACATCAAATTTAATAAAATATGTTCTAGGTTTCTCGGGGTATAAATACTTATACACCGCTTTATATGACTTTGGTTGCCATATAAAGGAGAAGTATTAAAAAAATAATTTGGAAACAAACTTGAAGTTGATATTATATTTTCTACACCACCTAACGTAACAGACTTATATGCCCAGTACCTTCCATTTCATGCCCAAAGAACTCGCTGTCATGCACAGAGATAAGCGAGTGACTGAAGAGAGAGCTGAAGAGGTAAAAGAGGGGAATGATCCGGTTCGAATCTTCGAATGACATGGGGGAACCCCGAGAGATCAGCTGGAGCAGCGGCACCATGGAGCTGAGGAGGAAGACACGGAAAAAGCAGAAGCATGATGACACCGTCGACATTACGTGCTCACTAGAGAGCAGAAACAGCCATAGTATCTTACCCGGTAATCATTTTAGTTGTCATGGAGGTTATCAGGTGCCACAGATGCCTCAGGAATCGTGCATTGAAAGCTAAGCTGTACAGGAGTCTGCAGACAAACAACGAATGAATAATAAACAAGATTTAAGACAGAAATGCATTAAAAGGCAGTTCAAATGACACAATCGGGGCAATAAACAATAAAATTACTCTCAGCCTAACGGTCCGCAGCGCTAAGACTGTTAACTTTGCCTCGCTTTAGCAGCGGACACAGAGAAAGAAAAAAAAAAAAAGAAGATTGTGACCAAACATTTCAGTTATAGAATCTTCTTGGCCTTTCCCTCCTTTTATGCGTTGCGAGGGGCCAAAAGGAGATTAAATGAGCCATTAAGCTTTATTTAGGCGAGGCACCTTCCATTAGTAAACTAGTTGCTGGCGAGGGTGCCCAGCTCAGGTCATAAACAGCCCCACTGGCTTCCTGCTGGAGCCCCCACACCCACATTTAACTTAATGGCCAGGGAACCAGGACAATGGAGGATGGAGGAGAAGGAGGAGGGGCACCCTGGTCCTTGCTGTGACCCCTGATGACTAGCATGCTTCCACACTCAGGTTGAATTAGTTGAGAAACACAGAAGGAGCCACATACCTCCCTGTTGTTGGACTCAGCAGGCTGAGGCAAGAAGGTGTGAAGGGGTTCTTTGTTCCAGAGTATTTGTTTGCGTATTCGCTGGAATTGCTCGGTTTTTCACACCGAGGGTAAGTAAAGGTGACAGTAGAGTGGTAAGTAAGCTAAAAGGCAAAATGAAGCGTCCCTAAATATAATAGGCCCTTGTCTAGGAGGGACAGCTGTAAAGACGCTATCCTTTAACACAACGAGGAAGAGAAAACATCCAAATCCTCAATATAAGCCTTTAATTTCCAACCCTTCCGTTTCAATATATCAGAGCTCATTCAGAAATCCTAAATTAGAAATGAACATTAGGGGGCAGACTGTCAGGCGAACCCTCAATAAGGCATGAAAAATGGTTGGTGTCGAGCACAGACCATCTGTCAGTGCAACAAGGCTCAGAAGAGAAGCACCGAGCAGCGCTGGGGGCTCATAACAAGTCGGGCTGGTGTTTGATTGAAATGAGAAACAAAGCACTAAATGCCAGCTGACCTGCTGATTTACAGCCGAGGGGGAAACCGAACCCCTCCCCAATTTCAATCACGGAATGAAGCACTAATAAACAAAGTCAAGGCATCAATAGGGGGTTGCATGTACGTGCGTGCGACGAGCGTCTTGATAAATAATGTCTGGATCGTTTCATTTTTGCTGCGATGAAAAGAAAAACCGTGTCCGATGGTAGGCCGGGGTCGGATCCGAGACCAGGAAACCAGAGCGAGTTTCTGCCTCAATGCAAATTAAATCTTCATCATCAACGTCATTATTTCACATCAACACAAAAATCGCAGCAACCATCTAAAAGTAAATGTGGACTGCTTCCCATCAAAGGGAACCAGTTAGCAGATTGGTGTTATGCTGGGAAATTACACCAAATATCTAACTTTACCAATTAGAGAGAAATTACAACACGCTCAGCAGGACAAACAGAAGATCAACTTATTGAGCGTGTTAAAAAGCAGTTCTCCAATTAAAACCAGCAAAGAAAGAGAAATTTAATGAGACATTTTCTATATTTATTACAAAGGAAGTGTGCCGGGCATACTGCATGCAGCCAGTCTCTCCTTTTTTTGCTGTAAAAGCAGTAAATCAAGACCGGGATGCAATTTGCTCCCCTTAGCCTCTTGTAAAGCTATCCCGTCCACTCCTGCAGCAATTAATCTTCCTCCGTGAGCTAATTATTTTGTTACAGATATCCAATAATGATGGAAGACGAAGGACAGGATTTATGATAAAAGTAGAGAAGAGAGGGAAGCTGTAAAAGAGGACAGGGATTAAAAGAGAAATCCTCAAGAACTCTACAAAAAATTAAAACAACCTAAGTTGAGTGTCCTAAAAGAAGTCTTTTTTGCATTCATCTCTGTGGAACAGCTAAGACTGAGTCAGACTGGATGGCGAGCCCATGTGAACATTGACTTAGTCTTGCCACATATTCTTAATCTGTGCTTTAACTAGACCACTCTAACTTTAGAACATTCTTTGAGCTGGATAATTAGCACAGACGTTCCCAACACTAATGTCAGCGTTCACAGTTCATATTTCTAAAGTACATTTTCAAAGAAGTTACATGAATGATTAGGGATTCCTAAAACACTTAAAAGCCTAATGGGTTTAATACTAATCTCCACCAATCTGATGGTTGAATAGACTAAATAACAGATTAAAAACAATACGTCTTTAGTTGCATAATTTAGCAGCAAAATAAGTCTTTGAATTGACAATGTTGCTTATTTTCTCAATATATGGTTTTAATAAAGTGAAGTCACTGCAATTAACTCAATTAAATCTTTTCATTAAGCCCCACTACTACTCTTTAGCTGAATATACAGTAAACTAAAATTACCACTGTGATATTTATCTATTCGTCACCAACTCTCCCCATCAGATACAACTCAACTAACAGGTAATGACTCCACTAATGATTAACTCCGCTGGGTTTACTGTCCATGAAGGTGGGTCTAGCTGACTTCCTGTTAGCCAGTGCCTTCCATCCTAAGCCGTCGCTGACATCCATCCCAACCCTAATGTAATTAACGAGGAAAAGAGCTAATTTCCCTCGTCCAGAACGGACGGCTTCCTTGACATCTCTGCCGGTTGTAAATGCCAGTGGGTGCAGACCAATGATAGCTGCTTGTCTAAAATCCCCATTAGCTTCATTGCTGAATGCGGAGCAGCAACACATAAAACAGTTTTCCTCTCAGTCAGGTGGAATCCATGACTGATTGGGGAAATTATTGTAATAGGGTTTAGTGCCTGCTTCACATTATTTAAAAGGGATTAAAAAACATAAATTAAGTGTGTGTTTACATTATGAAAGTCCATTTAGTACTTTGTGAATTTACAGCGGAGAAGACAGACAGATATGTCCGCCAGCAGTGAAGGACGATGCCCTGACTGCTTTTTAAAATCAAAGGCATTTAATTGGCCAAAAACTCTCGAGTGTTTCACGATCGCAGTCGAGTAAAGAGCCACTAGAACAACAAAAGAGAGGAAATACAGTAATAAACACCAGACAGAGTGCTAAATCATCCTTTCTGTGGATTTCTACCTGACTTTTGGCACCATGAGTCGATGCTGCACCATGAGCGTGTGACAAATGGATGCCATCATGGTGAAGACCTCCTCGCTGGCCGAGTCCCTCCAAACCAGGTTCAGCAGGGCGTTAGTCTGCTGTTTCGTGTCCAGCTTGTGGATGCATTCCTCCGTTATCAGCTGCACAGAAATGCGGCTGTTGTCCTAACGAAGACGTGTGGAAAAAAAAAGAGAGGCTTATTACCATAACCCATTTTTAACTACAATTAATGTCCGAATACATTTTTCTTTCCAAATTATAACTACAAACATTAATGTATTCCATTCATCGTGGGATTTTATGTGATAGACACTCAATAAAAAACCTGGAAATGCAGTAGTCTGGTCAGAGGACAAACTTTAGTTTTTTGGCCTTCATAAAAGCTTCATTCAAGTGTTTGTATTGTCACCAGTTACATATACATATATATGCTTAAAAGTTTGATGACATCACAGAAAAGAAATCAATAGGATTTATTTTGCAGGAGTTTCATCTCACCTTACAAAACCCAAAACACAAATTTGTTTTATTCCCTGAATGAAATAAAACATTCGTTTTCACAAAAAAACAAACAAAAAAAAGTTGTTGTTTTTTTTTAGATAATATGTGTTTTTATGTGTTGGTTGTACCTGCATGGGTGTAGGGTGCATGTCACCATCGTCATCATCCTCTGAATCACTGTTCACTTCCGGCCGGCTGGTGCTTTCCGACACCGGAAGCAGCGGCAGTAGAGCCTCCAGAGCCCGAAGGTAGAGCAGGTGTCCCTCCTCTGACAGCGAGCCTTCGAACATACACCCACCATTACTACGTTGTTTATTGTTTAAGTTTGCATACTTCACCGGCATAAGGAATTAAATATGCTCAGGAAAAATGGTGAACTTAATTGTGTCACCTACCTAAGCAGTTCTCTCCTGCAGAGAGGACAAAGTAGAAGAGCCACGGCGCCTGGCTTTGTGCTGCCGAGAAAGAGTCGATGGTGACCTTCAGGGAGCTCAGGAAGGCCTCGAACGGGAACGAGAGACGACGGTCCGACAGCGCCGGGATAAAAAAGTGAAAGATCTGCTCGGTGAACGGCGCAGAGATGAACTCCTCGGTAAACGCCGCAAATACAAACTGCCTGCGAGACAACAGCCAAACATCCCTTTGAATGCAGTGTAGGAAAACGGCAGATCAAACTGGTTTTGGTTATTGGGGTTGTTTCAACACAATTCTGCTTCATTGGCGTTCTAACCAAACAATATCGTCTCTCCAAATAGGAGTGCTTTGTCTAACTTGGTCAATAACATCTGGTGGGGCGAAGAAGAGATAATTAACTACTGGAATCACTGTGTGCACAAGTTTGTCTCCATCCTGCTGTGCCTTTCTTCATAAAAGAAAAGAAATTCTCCTGTCGTTATTAGAAAAGTCTTAAACTGAGTGTCAACAGTCTGATATTCAGCTCAAGAATCCAGTGGATCTTTTATGACTTATTGTCAGTGGGTCTCTTATGCAATTACTGCTTTAAGACTGATGGAAGAGCATACAGACACAAAACTTTTATTTGATAGGAAGAAGCAATAAGCCTGCAACCTGAACTTACACGCTTAATTCTCCTGTTGTTTTCTGTAGATATTGCGGGGACTGCATACCTGGACACCTTTTGAAATGCGTTCAATATCTTTGTTCATAATCATCTGCTTCCCAACTGAGGTAGTTCTTTTACTGTTAACAATCTAAAGCCTAAGTTGTTTTAACTTTATCCAAACAACTTTCAACAAGGGTTTCTTTTCCCAACAATGACCAGTTTTTGAGTTCAGCACATTAAGTAATCCCTGCCTGGTAACTCCCAACTGCTGTTAGCTGGAGTTATGTCTTTTGCAGTTTACACCAGACATGTAAACAAATGTGAGCAAAAAGCAGAAACACAACTAAAACGGTTGTAAAAATATTATTAAAAAAATTCTGTGTACCTTGCGCCTGTTGTGCAGGAGGAGTAAGTAAAGTGCAAAGGTTTGAGGATGTGCTCCAACAGTGTGCTTGCCAGAGGAATAGAGGGAGCATCGCTGTACTCCAGACTGGAGGGCAGTCTGTGATTTACAAGACTGTACAGCGACTTGTAGTATCCTTAAAACAAAACGAAAAAAAAAAAAGAAACAGAAGAAATTAGGTTGCATGAAAACTACACCAACTACAAATTAAAACAAACTAAATGTTTAGGAAAAGTTTATTGCGCTGCAGTAAATTATGTAATTTTTCTAACCATCTCACAAAAAAACTCAAACTGAAGTCTCAAGAATTTGAACGGCCTCAGTCCATGCAAAAAGAGTAATATTAAGGTCAATCTAACAACTTTGTAAATGTTTTAAATGTAAAAATGCATTTTATTTCAATGCACTGCCAGCTCACCTTTTTGTACCATATAGTGCAAAATCTGCTCAAGTAACGAAGCTACATTGTTAGCATCTGGAATAACAAGAAGATAAGTTCTCTCTGAAGAAAAGATTTCTAACATCCGCATGGGAACAGCAACATTTAAACTGTCATCTGGGCAGTTTTGCAGGAGTCTGGGAGAAAAAGAATAAGTATGTAAGTCCATAGAAAGTTTCATCTTCTTCATGGCAATCAATCAGCATCCTGTGTTTGTGTGTCCAGAACCTTACCTGCAGCAGAATCCCAGGATTCTTTTGATCTGAAATACACACGTCTGTTTCTGGGGACTGTTCAACAGCTTCACGAACTGACTGTTGTGTTTCACCAGGTTCTGGCATAACCATATCTTTGCAAACACACAAACAGGCAGATATTTAACATAACATGGTAATTAAAGCACGATCAAAAAAAAGCACTGGTAGTACTGCATTCTTACCAATCTATGTGCGTCCACACTCTGTCTGTAGAAAAATATAAGTCGTCTCGATAGGAGGCATAGAGTAGAGGCAGCCATGACGTGCTGCGTTCCCTCTGCCTGGGACTGACTGACAGACTCATCAAACTTAGCTCTCTGAAAGGCATACTGAAGGGAAGAAATACAGTAATTGAATGAAAACACTTGTTCGGTGAAGCTAAACATAAAGAAATAAATTGTTCAAAATTTTCCTTATAAAAATCTAAAAAGTAAATACTAAAAATAAAAGTTTGAGTCACTTGAGAAATCATAAATTTAGTCCTACAAAACTTAAGAGCAGATCTACAGACTTGCCCCCTTTCCAGGTGATAATTAATTCCAGGTGTTCAGATTCTGTCCTTAGTCTTCTTCTAGTGGAAATATATCCTAAAAAGTCTCCCAAAAGCAATGCACATACGTCATCTTAGTCAGAGGTTCCTTTTAATGGAGAAACACAGAAAATCTGAGCTCCTTTAAGGGCAGTTGACCATCAGCTGAATACGGACATGGCCCCTTTGTCTCAGCAGATCAATGAGTATGATGTGTGAGGAAAAGGTTATTTGTGGGCACGTCTTTACTGTACAACGATGATTTGAAACAGATTGCAGATAAATGGCTTATTCAGCTCAGTTTTCTGGCCAGAAAAAAAAGGCCAACTGAAGATTTATATCACAGTACATGGTGTGAAATCAACCTCTTAAGCTCATGTTTTGCTCTTATTACCACTCATGAATCAGACTGTAATCCTTCAGGGAGCAATTCACTTCCAGCTCAAAATGAACAAAACCTGCTAACACTAAGAAACATTCATATTTGCAACTATTTCTCCAGCAGAAAGACATCGGAATCAACATAACATAATATGTTCCTAAAGTGGATAAAGAAAACCTGTCGATGTGGAGGAGGCAGACATACCTGTTGCTTTAGGTCTTGGTAGCCACGTATGTAGGACTGAATGATGATTGCGTTTTTCAGCCTTTTTCTTTCTTCCTAAAGCAGAAAAAAGAAGCAAAGCTTAAAAATAACACAACCATAATTCAACAGATGAAACGTTAGTATTATAATACTTATTTGAACAAATATAAAGTGACAGAACAGACAAATATGAGGATCCATTATTAGCTAAAAAGTTAGGAATTAACGAGTTACCAACATGAACTGTTTAAATGAGTCAGAGTTTTCATAAGAAATGTAAAGTTAAACTGTTACTTGAAGTGTCACAAAAAGTGTCAAGTATGACAGGCAGCGGAGATAACACTTACACATTAAATTTGTTCAAAATTTTCTGGAAAAATTCAACACAGTGATCGCTGTTTTTAAAAGTCTAAATCAAACAATACAAGCATTAATGTAAGGAGTTACTTTCCATTTATTGTTGAACGTTTCTGGCGTAGCAACACACTGCACTGTCTGGTGACACATATTTGAATGAGGATTTTATAATGTTGAGATCTGTTTTTAAACCATAAATTGTGAGATGAACCTAAAATAATCTCTACTTTTTTCAAAATAAGTATCAGTGTTGGAATATTGCCACACATATATTTTTCTAACACACTACGTCCTGAATTAAAAAGATCTTAATGTTTGGTTCTCTCATATATGTCATAAAAGATTACCTCTCTTTTCCGTCTTTCTTCTTGTGTACGATGCAACAAGGAGGCTTTTTCTTCCTGAGGCAAGATAAGTTAAACAATATAAAGGTAGTGTTTTATTACTGGTCTATTTTTCTGCAAAAAGCACAATCGCGTGAGTTTTGTTTTTGAGCAAATGTCTCCACGTTGTACTGATGCTTACCTTTTTACTCGCTCCTCCCAATGACACCTTGGGTCGTGTTTTGAAATCTCCCTCAAAGCTGAACATTTTTAGATGATTCCCAATGACTGATTCAGACTTTTTGATGAATTTCTAAAAGAGAAAACGAAACCAGGTCAGATTGAAATGCATCAAAACTTCTCTGACGACCCTGGACTAGGGCTCAAATATCGAAACAACCTTGTTTCATAGCACGTAAAGCCTTCACACAGCTACCGTTTTGATTCATGTGCTCAGTCAAGAACTTTAGTTATCAAAGAAATAGTTAGCAGTCTGACTTCACCTAGTTTCTCAAAGTGAGAAGTCTCAATTTGGCAGCAACAATAGTTAGCTAACTTAGCTACTGTAGCTCATGACTCAGCAGCTGTCAGGGTTTTTTAAGGGGGTGTATGACTTACGATACAACGTGTGAACCGAAACAATGCCAATATACAACAAATAATGATCAAACACAACAATATACAATAATATCCGTGTATTTAGCCTGATTTTGTTCGCGTTAGCACTGAAGCTAACTAGCCACCGGCTAAGAAGTCAGAGAGGCTAACTTTACGTGGGGATTCTTTCTACCCCCATGTTCTGTTTGACATCATTTAAATTTCAAAATAGACACCAAGAAACACCATATCTACAATCAATAACCTTCTTACCTTTAACTTGTAAAATACGAAGTACAACAGAAACACTGACACTGAGAAATCCAATTGTCAAGTCTTCTTTTCCTCCACTCTGGAAATCATCACAACACAGAAACAGTTAACTTCTTCCGGTTCCTGCAAATCCCAAGCAGATGATTGGACAAAATCCACGTCAATTAAGCGTTAGCTCCGCCTTGCTAGTAGAGAGATTGAGAAGCTTCTATGAATAAATGTGTGAACGCAAGAATTGTATATTTTGCGGGGACAGGAAAGATCAATTTGTTGTTATTCATAATAAAGTTTTACGTGTTGAGAGGTCTTGGGTTGGATTTTGGTTACATTTGTGGACATACTCAAAAGTGATAGCTGCTCAACCATGTCCTGCCAACTTCAAAATGGTATCTTTATAAAGTAAACAATAAATCAGAGGAGAGCAGCAACTAGTTACATTTATAAGAATCACTTTTTTGGGGAATGGGAAATACTTGTTATTTTAAATTAAATATTACGAAGTACCATTTAATTTATGTCAAATTTCTAAATACTCTATACATTGACAATAGCTTCACTAATACAAAAACAAAAAAACAAATTTTAACCAAAAATGCAAACATAAACCTACAGTGTACGTTAAAGCATAACTTCTTGTTTCTCCACAAGCATTATAGTTCTAATGTTCTGTCTGCTGTGCTATTTAGAGGTCAAGTGACTATAAGATCAACACCATATATTGTCATTAGACATATTTTAGCCTATTCATACTTATACATAGGCCTGTCACGATAACAAATTTTGCTGAACGATTAATTGTCTAAAAAAATTATTGCGATAAACGATAATATTGTTTCAAGACCTTCTGACACTGATTTAATGGAAATGAATAATAATGCACGCTATTTCCTGCCATAGATAGATACACTTTATTTTCAAAAGAAAACACATAACACTGGAACTAATAAACTAAACAACCAAAAACAAAAATAAAATGGATTCTCAGTCTCCATTAACAAAAAACGTACTTGAATAAAAAGTAAACAACATAAAGCCAAAGTGGAAACAAATACTGCAATCAACCAAAAGAGTGCAGATTATGAAGTCTGTATTCTATATTGCCCTTCAGTAATCACTAGATTTAAATAGAGAAGACGGGCACATCCGACTACCTAATACAGTAGTTCACACTACACGATTTTTTGCCCCCTATTTTCCCGTTAAGATAATTTTAGATCATTGGCCGTTCTAAGATTGTCGCTGGTCTGGACTTGTAGCTGGACACCACACAGCACGATCGAACCCGATCGAGCTGTTATACCTATGGATTTGTGTTGGCTAATGTGTCTCTCAGGTTTTGAAAATGGGCCGACAACTCGTATCGTGTGCACTGGACATTACACTACGGACATAAGAAGGGAAGGTCAGTGGAGAACACCGGAGTTGAGCCTTTTTTCATTCAGTGTCATCAAGAGAAAGAAAAAAAAGGCAGGAAGAGACTATAAAGCCGATAATTAAAATGAGGTTGATAGGTTTAATTTATCGTGCGATTAATTGATTTATCGTTTATCGCAACAGGCCTACTTATACATTACCTATTATCTCAGTTTTATATAGAAAATATTTGTTTAGAAAATTGTTTCTCATGCTTAAAATGGGCTGTTTTTTCATTTTAGTCTTTAGAATACCAAAATTTGCACATAACTTTATTTTTGTGTGTCTGATTGCATCACTGCAAAATATCAAATCAGACTTTATGATCAGTTACTCAGTACTTAGGTGGCCTGTTTTTACAAAATACTTATTTACTCTTAGTTGAATAATTTCTTGGACTTCTTACTTTTACTATGTTGTAGTGCTATTCTTACTTGAGTGCGACTTTGGGGTATACTCTGCCCAGCTCTCGAGATTCATGCAATACTGCTAAAGTTATTGTGTCATTTCTAAATTATAACTCCTGAAAATGTTACAACTATATCTAAATTCCTCCACTTCGCATCAAATCAACAGATACATGTTTGGTTGTGAGATATAGAAACCTTTATCTGAACTTGTGTTGCATAGAACAAAAACAAATAAATTCAAATTGTGAAACTAATTCTTCTTTATAAAAGTCAGTTCCAGTTATTTGTTGTGTAACCAGTCTATGTTGATTTAAGAGCCCAAATAAGTCACGAAAGGCCACAATTAATATAATGTCTTATGTATAAGTCCCTTATTTATTTGCTTTAAAGGACCACATGTTTCAAAGATTCAGACCAATCTTGAACATAAGTCCTCATCGGATTTGTGTCTCTGTGTTGTTGTTCAACCCATCACTGAAAATTGATACCTGTTGTCTTTCTTATGCTTGGGTTTGTGGTTTTATGTACATTCCTGTGAATTTAGTTATCATCCTTTGTGCAATTTGTGTTCCACTTGTCCTTGCTTTGGTATTGCAGTTTAGTTTCCATTTTGCCAAAGTTATGTGCTTTGTTTATCTGGGAAACATATCATTTATTTTTTTCATTAGATGCTCTTCAGTTGTTTTTTCTTTAACACTCTTCTCTCCATCAGCTGTTATCTATCAAGTAAATAGTCCCACTGGCCTCCATTCTTGTGATCAACCTCACCAACATCAAAGCCTTTCAGTTTGATCTTTGCCAGATCCTCCTGTTCTCTTCTGTGTTTCTATTTGTTTCTACTACTGCATAAATATTCAAACCTGCATGAGCCATGAGACTTGCAGTTGTAGTTTTCGCAATAAATAAATAAAAATAAAGTTTTGCCTAAGGAGGGGTGCATTCAAATCCACACTTGAATCCACACATGGACAATTTCCACATTTTAAAGCCCTGTGTTTTTGTTATTCCACTTCAAATTAGGCATCACTTTTGTAGAGCAGGGGTCTACAGTCTGTAAGGTCCAAAGAGCTGTTTTTAACATTTATCCCAAACTTTTTTCAGAGCTTCAACTGTCACATGATCTTTTGAAAAAAGAAATTCCTACTGTGTGAAATATGTTGTCATTTTTGATGGGTTTTAAAAATAACAACAACCTTAGCAAAAAGAGGCTGGACACATTTCCTTCAATGGGATGTTGTTAATTGCAACGAAATAATGATTAAATAGTAGTAAGGTGACATTCTGTTGTGGAAATTCAATTCGAAATTGAATTTTCTGCATATCTATTTTTTTTAAATAGTTGTTGCTCTCTAATCACTTCTAGTCAAGATTTGGGGCGCTATTGTGAAAGATCCAACAAGCCACTTGCCTAAAAATCTAATAAAATGTAATGTTCCATGAATAAAAAGTAATAAATAAATAAGCAAATACATTTTTAATGCGAGAAAATGCAAACAGTAAAATTATGTGAATATTTTGTTTCCTTAATTTTAGGACCTAGCATTGTTGTTGCCTTCAGCAATCTTTGGGTCATATTTGGGTTAGTTAGTTAGTTAGTTAGTTAGTTAGTTAGTTAGTTAGTTAGTTAGTTAGTTAGTTAGTTAGTTAGTTAGTTAGTTAGTCAGTCCATCACTGGGATTATTGGTTACAGTTGGACTGAGAAAAGGCTTTTAGTTTTTCTCCTGAAACCGGAAAATGTCAGCCAAAGAGGTGTGCTAAAATAGAGAGAGAGAAAAAAAAGAGAGAGAGAGAGAGAGATTAAATGAAAATGATTACCAGTTAATGTTTCCAAAACATTTCATAAATGTATCCATTTTGGGGCCAGTTGGGGCGAACATATTTATTGCATTAAAAGAGACAGAGCAGCTCCCACTTAATTCAGCACAGGTAATTAATATATAAACTCCTCCGATTTGTCACGTTGATTTGTATTTTAGTTAATTGTGGACGTAATTACGGGGCAAATTAACAGCTTTCAGGAAAGAAAAAGGCTTCTGCAGGTCCGACTCCATCTTGGGCCGCCTTATTAATTTCTCTCTCGTTTAAAGATGTGATGAAAAGGGGCGATAAATCTGGGTGATCGGTCGGGGCCAATAGTAAATGGCCCCATATTTCACCGCTGCCTTAATAGAAATATTCATGCGGGGGCCCTTAATGAAATTAAACCTGTGTGCCGATGAAGACTCGGGCTGGTAAATGAGGCTGGAACAATGCGTTTAACTTAATTTTCTGTTTCGTTTCTTTATGAAAACATCCAGTGTTGCAGATTTAACCACAGAGCTCCCAGTTCGTTTTAATTCTTCCAAAGTGCCCAAAATCTACTTGAAAACAAGGAAAACTTAATCTGAATGCAACAGTTAAAAATACAATAGTTATTTTCGACATAAGTTAAATTATTAAATTTAAACACCTTCATGCAAGATACAACCCCCCCCCCCGAACCCCCTACCACCACCACCTTCCAGCATTTTTATTTATTTATTTATTTTTTGTCCAGCTTTAGTTGCAGGCCCGCGTGATGACGTCCCAGTACCCGCATCAATCTCCCAGCTATCATTCTGTAATTGGTCATGATCATCAGGGTCCGCAATTAAACGGCGATCCTTTACTAGAAAACTCCTGGCTGACTTGTTGATTTCCCCCGAGCAAATAAACGTCCCGGGGAGCGAGCGTCGCTGATGAATCGACAAAAACCAATCAGCTTTATTGGGAGACAGGTTAAGGGCAACGGGGTGTCAATAATTCTCGTTTTCGGCCTCCTCTTCCATTAGGTTTAAGTGGCTTATTCAGACCGAGTCCGTCCGTCTGCTCGTCATGATTTGGACGATTTTGTCTTCATTTTATTTCTACATTTAATTGACATAAACAACTTAGTTTAGGATATTAAATTAAAAAAATACTATCTATCTATCTATCTATCTATCTATCTATCTATCTATCTATCTATCTATCTATCTATCTATCTATCTATCTATCTATCTATCTATCTATCTATCTATACACAGTCATTTTGTTTCTGTGTATCAGAAATTTAGCAAAAATCTTTTTTATTCTAATTTTGTTGCCTGACATTTTGTTCACAATATTTACAAATGCACAATTAACAGTTTGCTGATAATGTTTGGATTTATTGCACATGCTGTACATCTGCCAGCTTCTGACTGTGGGAGTGACAGAAGGAGGGCTTTTACTTAAATTTCCCTGTTGGCCTCTAGTGCAGACACATTGTTTCCATTCCTCTCATGTGTTGACGTTCTAGAAATTAAAGAAGTTGGGGCAGACAACCTTAAGCATAAACATTTATAGGTGTCATTAACAAAGAGTCTGATTTGATCAGTTTTAACGGAAAGAGAAGACTTATGATAAAATGACTTTTAATAAAGGTAAAAAAAAAATAATAATAAAAATACAGACGAACAACAAATAAACAAAAACAGACCTCCCACACACACAAGTGGTGGAAAATATATATATATATTTTTTTTCTCACACACCGCTCCCCGCTCTCTTTAAAGGCGTTGTGCTGGACCTGCTCTGAAGGAAGGCATAGATGACCAAGTACAGACAAAGCAAATCAAATCACAATGTGGGGGCAGCAGGCAAAGACCTGAACAATCACCCTGGGAGTATCGCAAATTATGATTAGAACAAAAATTGTTTCCAGAAGGTGGAAAGACAGGATGTATGAAAGCCATTGAATATCTGCATCCAATATCAATAACATGACACCACTAGCGTTTCCATTTTTTTTTTTTTTTTTTTTTTTCTTCTTTGTTTTTATTTTAAAAATAATATAAATATATCAGATCAGGACTTTCTAATGCATAATTGATCTAAACCGAAATTAAATGCAGCACTTGCTTACTTGAACTTCACCTGAGGAAACTAAGATGAAGAACAAACGTCTAATAATGAGTAAATAGCTACCATATTGAAAGGCCTTTTGAACCCTTCACCGCCAACCTTTACGGATTAAATTTTAGAAAGAAAAAATACTGAGTCGAAGTCAATCAATTTTTTTTATTATAAAACTTGTCTTATTTTATTTTTTTTATTAATATAAAAAGGCTGCGTCAAACATTTAACAGCACTGTAAGTTCTGAAGAATTTCAGATTTATTGCGTTGTTTTATTTAACCATTTCATTAGAAGAGGATTTTTCTGAACTCCATTGGCCACAGGTATATCTGTTCAAATTTGAACATCAAATCAACATGTGATTTATTATTAATTGTTCACCCAATGTGAGCATAATTAAAGTTGTTGCTTGTCTGAATTCTATCCGACGCACTAAAATGGCTATATGGTTATTTGAAGGACTAGTAGAACTAAATAATAATAGTAATAAAAATAGTTTATTATATTTAAAAACACACACACGCACACACACAAATTCACTATTGGAAAATGTCATGACTGAGTTTATTTTAAATCAGCATTTTTTTTTTTCGCTGCCATTAAGCCAATCGTGACGTAAATATTGTTGCCATCATCTTGGTGCGCGGTCATTAGGGCAGGAGGCGGTGTTGAGTCCGCTGAGTGCATCCGGTGGGACAGCCCCCTGACTCATGCTGCACCAATCGCCTCCATCTGACCGGGATTAAGTGTCAAACAGCGCTCTTCTCTCACACTTCGGAGGACACCATCAACTTCTGAAAGGTGAGGAAAGCAGGGTTGATTTCTTCTCCAGTTCAGCGGCTGCAGAGGCTACCAGGACGCGCACCGGCCGACCCGATGGAGAAATCCAAAAACTTTCGCATCGACGCGCTTCTGGCAGTCGATACGCCAAAGGCGCAGACTTCACCGCTGGCACTTGTGACTTCCCTGTCCTCTTCCTCCGCATCTTCCTCCTCCATCCCGTCGTCCGGGAGCGGAGCTGCCCCGGACCTCACGGCAGCCGCCGAATCGTTACGCGCCGAGACGCCGCCGTCTCCGCCGAGGATTTCCACCTGCGGGCTGATTCCCAAGCCGGGGTTCCTGAACAGCGCGCACGGCATGGTGGGACTACACCCGCAGAGCAGCGCGGGGATCCCGGCGCAGGCTCTCTACGGCCATCCCATGTACACATACTCCGCCGCTGCGCTGACGGGCCAACACCCCGCACTGTCCTACTCCTATCCGCACGGCTCGCATCACCACCACACCAGCGACCCCATTAAACTGACAGCCAGCACCTTCCAGCTGGACCACTGGCTGCGAGTGTCCACAGCTGGGATGATGCTGCCAAAGATGTCCGATTTTAATGGTGAGTTGCAGAACTTTCTCACCCTTCCTCTCTGTTTAGGATTATAACGGAAAAGTTTTTGTTTTTTTTAATTTTATTTACATGTTAAGTTTAAAACTATAACATGTAAATAAATAAATAAATAACACATTGAAAGAAAAAAAATAAAACTTTAATAGTACAGTTAAAGCAAAATGCCAAAAATAAGGTTCAGAGGAATGTGCAAACTGCTGTGCCAAATAAAAATAGAACTTTCAGTGGAAATAAGGAGGAGGAGTAGTAGAAATTATAAATGCTGAATTTGTTTCATTCTATTTACTAAAATATAACAAAGAAAAAAAATATTTTGCGTAACAAGATACGTTAAAACAGCAGGCACATTTTTTTTTTTTTTTAATTATACAAGTTTATTTTTGAAATATCAAGGCTCACATTTCTGCATGGCCTCGACGCGGAGGCTGTCATGCAGCGTTGGTTTTTCTGCAGAGGAACTAAAATGGACAGATAATGGACAGTGGGGGAAAGTGGCAGAGGAGTGTGAAAGCCACAGCCGACATGCGATCTGCTCAGCAGATATACTGGCTTTTTTGTTTCTGCTCACTTTAGCGGATTTGTTCAAAAAATAAGAGGGCAGAAAGTTTGTCTGCGTTCATGTGTGGATCATTTTTGACCGCATAGAATCTCATTTTAAGAACTGGACTCAATATCAACAGCATAAGCATCTGTCAAGAACGTACATTTCTACAATGAGACCAATTTAATTATTATAAAGGACTATTACACAGAAAACAACGCATCTTTGTTCATTGTCTTTGTCTTGCAGCTCAGACGCAGTCAAACCTGCTCGGAAAGTGCAGAAGACCCAGGACAGCGTTCACCAGTCAGCAGCTGCTGGAGCTGGAGCATCAGTTCAAACTGAACAAGTATCTGTCGCGACCAAAGCGCTTCGAGGTAGCCACGTCGCTCATGCTCACCGAAACTCAGGTATAACTCAGTCCTGCGCATTTTATTTAGCGTATTGCGTGATACACAAGGCAAACAACTTGGAAATGAGGACCTGCCTTTGCTCTCTCAGAAATAAAATATTACACACCACAACACTTGAAAACACACACGCCAACAGTTTTCTTTTTAAGTTTATGCATTCAATTTATTGAATTGAATGCACAATTCAATTCAGTTTATTGAATTCAATTTATTGACTGCACACTGAAAGCAGAACTCTTTCTTTCTATATACACTTCTAAAGCAGTTGATCACATAGTAACAATTCAACTCGTTCAATTCCAGTTTACAACAGTTTTAGCAAAATTTGTTGTATTAAAAATTTCAGTGGAATTAAATCAAACTAAATTAATTTAATTCAGTTTTGATTGATCAAATAAACAAATTAATTATTTGGTTTAGAATTCGCTTGGAATTTAGATACAACAGACACTATATATATATATATATATATATATATATATATATATATATATATATATATATATATATATATATATGTCATTAATCAAAAGAAGCCACCATTTATGTCAAATTTCTCAATTCAGAATTGTCTTCATTAAGATAAAAAGCTGCACGTTCAGACTGATTAATGCCAAATGCATTTCATTAGACACCAAATATACACGTTCACAGCTGGAGTCACCCTCACTGTTTCTTTCACTAAATTATGCTTGTCTCCCGTGTTAAAAAAGAAAAAGAAACAAGAAAAGTACTTGGTTTCTGATTGAGGCATGAAAAGCTACAAAATTTGCAATGAACATATTGCATGTGAACACTTTCCCTGGCAACTGTAGCTAAGAAGAGCTGCCAAGGAAGCTGTGTGTTGTTCAAGCCAACCTGCAAGGTGTAGCTTGCTGACAAGTTTAACTGTAGCATAGTCATTGTTGAGAAAATAGTTCAAGGCGAACACAGACCTTTAAAATCTATTTTAAAACTATGCAAGCATTGTGTTAAACTTTTTCCCTGAAAAACTACAGCTGGATATGTTATTGATAGGCAACGACTGCGACAAGGTTACAAAGCTCATCTTGCCTGTATGTTTAACTTTAGCATTAAGCTGAAAGCAAAATTCTCAATCCATTTAATGCTCTATGTGACATTGCTGGGGCGTAAGCAGCTCCTTCAGTAGCAAACTGATAGACCCACTTAAAGGAAGGAAAGATACGGCAGGTCATTCATACAAACTGCAGTCAGACTGTATAACTTACAACTTGTTGGTAAATTAGTACTTCCTGCTACCACTAATGTCTCTGTTACAACTCATCTATGCAATTATTATTGCATTGGCATTGTACCATATTTCATAAGTCATATCTCATACATTATTTTAATAGGTGCAATATTAAAGGTTTTATTATTTTTTTATATACATTGTGCAAAGTGTTTAGTTTCTTTTAGATTGTTTTTCATTGTGATTTGTTTATTATTTGTAATTTTGTTGTTGTGATGTCAATTTCCCCCAGTGTGGGATTGATAAAGTGTATGTATTTATTGTTTAGCACTGTTACTATAAAGAGGATGCAAACTTTTAAATTCTACTTTATCAGAAATAAACTTCTCCTTAGAACTACAACTAAGAAGCGCTGTTCATTTACAATGACCTCCTCGAAGTAAATTTAGTTCACTGGAAATTTGGCTTTAGCACTAGCGCTGTTGCTAAGCTAGCTAAGGCTGGATGAAAATTTTAATTCTTGCTCCAACACAAAATTACCTCAACTACAAATCTTGTTAACCTTCATTTCAGTCAATCAACTCAATTATAAACTTAAATTAGCAAATGACAGTTACAGCTAATTAAACCAACACCTGCAGTTAAGTGATAATGAAAAGGTTTGAAACGAGTTTGTTACCAAAGCAGAAGCTTATGTTTAAATGTAACAGTTATTGAACGTTTTATTCACATACCAATGTACTCAATTTGAATTTAGGTACATAATTTCAATAACTAATATTTATGACTTTTAACCAACAGTTGTATGGTAGACGGCTTTATACCAACATCTTTTCAACTTTAAACCACATTTACAATTGGTTTATAAGATAATGGAATCTTTTCATCAAATTGAAAGATGGCACTATGCATTTTACAGTAACTATACTAAGAAAAGCCCAGTTTATAATGGCTTTACTCAGTGACTATTATAATTTTTAAAAGCACAAAAACAGAGTAAATTACATTTGGGCATTGTTTTAGTTGTCTAAAAAAACTAAGTGTTTCAATCTAATTAATGAAAAACTATTTACACACAGTTTTTGTGTATATTTTAATCAGCACATTTGACTAGACATCATGCGAGATTCAACAGACAATTCTTCAACTACTAAACATAATTAATTACATTTATTTTAAGCTACATAACTACGATAATTTTACTCATATGTCTCCAAAAACAATAAGTATACATCTGTTTGTTGCTATGGCATAAAACATTAGTGTCGTTAAGAAGTTTAACTTTCCTCCAAGTTTGATGTTAGCATTAGCACTTTTGACAGCTGAAGTGGGATACAGAAATTATTTTTTGCTAAGAGCACAGCCTATCTAAACCAGAGGTTTGAACAATACTTAACCTTTTGTATTATACTTTCATATTAACAATCATATTAACTTATTAGCCTAACTGTCCCTTGATAAACACAGCACATGAAAAACAAGAATAACTTCACTGATCAAATTGTTAAGATAATATTTGATACCAAAAAACACCCCAAATAAAATAACAAAAAAAAAAAATGAACAAGCCGTAATGCTGTTAGAACTGAGCATTATTACATTATAAAGTCAAATGTTCAATTGAGAGTTAAATAATTTTGATGACTTATACACCTTAAGAGTAGAGCAGATAAAAATATAGCCTGAACAAATGTTTTATCACCTTTAACTTCCCAATTTCACTTGGATGGATGGATGGATGGATGGATGGATGGATGGATGGATGGATGGATGGATGGATTGTCTTCTCTATTGCATTAGATTTTGCTCACATACAAGAAATTATCCAAGTTTCTATTTTGTCAAATACAGCAGCATTACTAAAACAGCCACCAGGATGAGCCCGTTCTTTAGCATTGCTGTGTTTAATACAGTGCTGACATGGTGCCTTTAGAAAGCTCTTAAAAGGACGGCTAAATGGGGACCATTTTTAACTTTGGAATGGCACACCAAAACCAATAACCATGAAGAAATTTAAGAAATTTTAATATGCCGTAGTCATAAATCCAGATGAGTCAAGTTGTTGTCAATTGGAGTTTTAAAAAATGTGTTTCTATTGTTTATTTTGGCTCATTTTAATTGTTTTATATTATTTGGGTTTAGAAAAGTGCCCACCAGCACCCCCGTGGTGGAATCTCAGATTACTGACACTGTAGGATGATCCTTAAACCCCAGATTAAATATAAGAACCGAAAGAGGCCAGTTGAATCAGCTCATTGTGATTTTGATTTATTGATTAATATAATGTTAAGTAAATTTAAAAAAAAATACAATGAATCAGATTTTGAAAGTTTTTGTGACAATCCCCCGGGACACTTAAATGTGATTATTTTCATTTTTTAATAGTTATTAGAAGATGAACTGTTTTCACCTACTATCTCGCTACGCGGATGTGGAAACGATGGTGACGAGTGCTATATTTTTTTGTTTCAATTTAATTTAGTGGAGAAATAAGATAGTTTTTATTAGCGTTGAAAATGACTAAAACACTATTACAAAGAGAAGTGACGTGAAATAAGAAATAAATGGAAAACTATAAAAAGACCCCGACAGCAATTATGTCCAATAACCTTTTTGACGCTTCTGTCAGTTGAATTATCGACTCCTCTTCTCCTCAGGTGAAAATCTGGTTCCAGAACAGACGCATGAAATGGAAGAGGAGCAAAAAGGCCAAAGAGCAGGCCGCCCAGGAGGCCGAGAAGCAGAAAGGCACCAACAAGAGCGGCCAGGAGAAATCAGACGGACTTGAACAGTCAGATTATCACAGCAAGACGGACTCAAAAAACGGCAGAATAAGAGACTTCAGAGACAGCGACGACGACGAAGGCGACAGTTTCTTGTACAACTCGTCGGACTGCTCTTCGGACGAGGAGCGCAATCACAACAGCGACGCCAGTCCGCAGGCTTAACTGAGCTGACCTTCAGCTGACTGACTTTGGGAAGTTTCACTGTAAAAAAAAAAGAAAAAAAAAGAAAAGAAAGAAAAGAAATATAATGCAGTTGCATGTAATCCAAGAATTTTCCTGAACGAAATTTGCAAAAAAAAGAAAAAAAAAGAAGCTAATGTTTAAAAAAGAAGAAGCAATAAATCAGAAGACCTGCATTTTATTTAGGCTATGCTCATTGCGCACCCACATAAAGACACTGCATGAAGCCTGGAGTGGGTCAGAATTGGCGAAATTCTGCGGTTTGTCCGGGAAAAGAGGCCATAAAACAAAATTATTCACAGCAATATCACAAATGAAACGGAAAATTATTTTTCTATAATGTATTTATACAATAAATTGCTCATAGAAAAAAAAATGCATGCCAAAAATAATTGTTTGACCTTCATCTCCCTGCAAATAATGTAAAATAGAATGTTCTTTTTAACTGAAAATTAAAATCAGGTAATGTTTCGGCGTATTTTGTTTTTCCTCCTTCTTTTCGGAAACACAGAGGCTCATTCATGATTTACAGGGAGTGTTTGAGTCCTGTGTCCCCTCTCTTTGCTCTGACAGCTCGGGTCATGGGAATCACTGTTAATAGCGCTGTCGGATCTGTGCAAACGGGCAGTGAGAGCAAACAGCGAGCAGGCAGTCAGACAGAGGAAACATTTCACACCACACCGACAATAGGCTCGTATTAATACGCCCTTTAGAAAGCAGGGGAACATGGATGCTGCTGGATAGTTTCATGTAGACTGGAGATTTTAAGGTAATATCGGTAGCTATAATCTGTAATATCGGTTTGAAACTTAGTTTGTAAAAGTAAGAAATTAAAAAAAAAACAAAAAAAACATGCGTGTCCAATTTAAAGATATCATATTGGTAGCAAACAAATGGAGATTGACGTCGAGAAAGAGATAATTTTGCGTGCGTGCATTTGGGTCGATGACATCACCAGAGGCATAAGAATCGCTGATCAGGCAATATTAAGAATATTTATAGCACAGGAGTTACTATTATTAAGTAGTAAAGGGTTCAACTTTACATGTTAGTGCTAGAGTTTGACTCTTGTCACAACAACGCAATGATGGAGAACAGCCTGAACAAAAAAGCTGACGCTAACACTAACTACCGCAGGAAACAAGTAAACACGTCTAAATGTGTTGCTAAATCAGGAATTTGAGCATGAATGTGATTATAATAGGGGGGAAAAAAACACTTAAAAGAATCGATGACAACAAATGTGGTCAGATACCATTTGTGATGTCACCAGAGGCATGAAGGAGTGTTTTTGGAAGTGTGATTTTTAGCTTCATTTAATGGTGATTTACAACTAAACAAAATAAATGACCTGACCATGATGTTGCTTCATTGATAATAAATTATCCCTAAAGAGAGTGTAGTTGATTTCACAAAAACAAAATCTAGCATGCAGGTTCAAAATATGAGTCTTTTACTTTAGCAATGTTATTGTCTGAAAGGGTTCATTTTAGACTTTTGTCAACTTTTAATACGACTTTACAGTGAGCTCCTGATATGTTGGTGCAATGCGGCAGACTGAAAATATTTTGTGTTCCTGCAGCGATCACTGTTAATCGACAGCAACACCCGAGAGATTTTTGGACCATTTATACCAGGTTTACAAAGTAATCTGTTGGCTATCTGTAGCTGTTTGCTTTAGCAGGCTAACTTAAAGTTCAACTTAGGGTCAGCAGGTAAAAATCAAGCTGTAGTGAGCTTACAGATCTATTTTTAACAGTGCTTCTCTAAAATTGTGCTCAAAAAAATAATTGCACTAAACATTGATGCATACACTACTGTCTTCATTAACCCTAAACTTGAATTTTGTCACAGTATAACAACTTTGATGTATTTTATTCATTGACACAATGTTGGGGATGATTGTGAAGAAGGAGAAAACATTTTTTAAATTATATAAATATGTTTGTGCTTCAAGCCTTCTGTAGGATTTCTTGAGGGATTTAACTGTATTTTCCATTAACATGTACCAGCTTTGACTTCAATGCCGAAAAACACCCATCCTCACAACATGATGGTGCCACCACTGTGCTTTACAGTAGGAAAGATGTGTCCAGGATTATTTAGAGTGACAGTTCTTTGCACTAATTTTGTGACTTCTTACGTCAACTGTTGTATGTTTGTTTAAATTAGGGGTACCGAAATAAATCTGGTCTGAAAACTATAAATTCTTCTTTATTTGTGAAGAACTTTCAAAATAATAGTTTTAATGTCCTTTAACCACATCACAATAAAAAAATTTGAAAGGGTGTAAATATTTTACCTTTTAATATATATTTTTTTAACATTGTGTACATCACTGAATGCTTGGCTTTAAATGGGAAAAAGTTCGACCTCCTATCAGCAGCAGTCTACTTCATGAACTGACAAACACTTGATCTGGTTGACCTGGCCTGATGCTGACCCCCAAGCTGCCCGCTCTACGCCTTTAGAATAATACAGGCATCAACAGAGCTAATTTATAGGAGCAAGTATCAAATGTAACAGAATGACTCTGCTATGCAAACCATGTGGGAAATATACTGGTGTCAGCAGACGAACAGGACAGGCCATATTCAGCGTCCCCGAGTCAATTTATCAGGGCATGTAAACACTGAAGAGCAACGCCACAACCTCTTAGTGTTCAGGTCAAAACACACAGGAAAGGGGAAAAAGTCTACAAAGCACACAGTTAAGGTTCAGTTGAGTTTTAAATGTAAAAATGTTTTTTTTTTTGCTTGGAATAAAAATAATACACACAAAAAAGTCAAACTCTGATCGTACAGTACCTGTATAATATGATTTTCACAAAAAGTTAATTGGAGAAAAACTATTATGCTTCTTTTTAACCCTCCCGCGGTCTTAAGAGATGGGGTCAGTTGGACCCCAGAAGCTTTTCAGGTTTTTTTTGTGTGTGTGTGGTTTTGGGAATTGATGGTCTGACGGGACACCCCTCCCCCAACTGTTTACCTGCTGTCTGACCGTGACATCTGCTGCGCTCCTCCAGAGTGTCGGAGGGCTAAACAAATTTACAAAGATAGACTCTGTGTATGTTGCAGATGGAAACAAAACATTTTTGTTCTTACATACACAAATCAGAGAATGCAAAATGTTTTAGTTGGTTGTCGTAGATCACCAAAGGTGGCTTTCAGCCCTGTATTTCAACATTGAGTGTTTTTAGGTGCTTTTAATGCCACAAACTTTGGGTCTGTTTTACAGTTTGAGCTTGGTGTCTTTAGTTTCCATAGCCTTGGTGGCGACCTGAGCACGCTCCCGCAGCAACGCGGCATGCTCAGCCGGTCCCTGAGACTGGGAGTTCTTCAGGAGGAAGTGACTGATGAAAAGCTTCAAGCCGTCTCGCAGCAATCCCAGTTTAGCAATTCCTGAAATCCTGGTGAGATGGAGAAACGAGATATTTCTTATCAGACTTTACAAAAATGTCAAAGTGTAATTAACAGTTATTTTACATGACCTTTCAGGTGGGGGTCATTTGATTTTTTTTTTTTTGTATCACTACAAAGAACATTAGAAACATTTTATCATGATACAAACCAAACATTCAATAGATCTTACTGAAATTTGATGTGATACATCAACACAAAACATAGCATAGCTTCAAAAAGTAAATAAAATAAAATAAGGTCAAATAAATAAATGAATAAAAATCTATTAAGTGTGGCATACTGTAATTTTGTAACCTGTAATAACTTAAACGTTTACTGCTTATTTGATACAAGTCTGGAAAAGAAAGAACCTCACCTCCCAAATATGCTGGCTATCTCCTCTGGCTCAGTTTCTTTCAGTAGTTTCGTCAGGACCTGACGTAAGAAACGCACCTTGGACTTATCTAACTCCCCAAACTCTATCACCTAATGACGCAAAGAAAGGGAAATAAGCACACAAGATATGTCTTACTCGATTTATGACAGGACATAGTGGCACAAAATGAATGACTCACTTTGAGGATGGAGAGTGAGAGGCATTTCTTCCGAAGAAAGTGAGTCACCAACTGGACCAGATTGGTAAATGCACAGCTGGGAAGGTTTGACAGCTCTTTGAACTTGTCCCATAAGCAGAACTGGAACGTCATCTAGGAAAGTAACAGTTCCTGTTTAGTACAAGGACAATCCAGTAAAGGAGGGGGAGGGGCAGTCTGCACATAAAGTCATCCCTTTGTTACTTTACAATTTGCTTTTTAAAAGCCAGACTTGTCTTAATCTTTTAAATCAACATACTGGATGCTCTTTCATTACTGCCCTGACGTTTTCCAGACAAATATGGTTTGCTAGGAAATTCACAAAGCAGTTTGAGGTATAAGCAAATGTTGCAACTGCTTTGGGCCTCTTGCAAAACATTTGGGCTCCAAAAACAGATTTAGTGGTTTTGTACAAACTTTTCTGACTATGAAAAGAGTCATATGCATAGTTTGGTTTCTACTGGCCAACGGTCAATTTCTACAATACTGGGGAAAGTCTCGTACCTGCTTTGACACTTGTAACTTTCTATAATCTGCTCACACTATACTGCCTGCACCTTTTGGTGACTCAGTCAATATTATTTACCAGTAATTTAGAGGGTTTTTTTTGTTTTTTTTGTTTTTGCTTTATCGGAGGGTGGTAATTTCTCAACTTTCACAAGACCTGACAGTGATCAGAACCACAAGAAACTGAAGCAGGATGGAATTTAAAAAGTTCAGAAAATAATACACAATAAAATTGTTACACATTACTTTTTAGAGGTTTTGCCATTATTTACCTTCAAGTTCCAGTAAAATATTTGATTACCAGGACTAAATAAACTGAAACTCAATAGCCAGAATCAAACTGGGTCCAGAAAGAAGGGAAACATGAAGACAACATTTTAAAAATTGCAAGAAAATGAAAAAGAACTACTACAATGTTGTCTGTTTCTCCTTGACATTTTCTCCAATGTTCATTTCTCCTTTAATTAAATGTCTTCAGAAATGTTACTTAAAAAACACAAAGTTTAATTTCTTATGTATATATGGAAGTTCATCCTGATTTATGTCCCTGGGGGCACCCCATGCAAGGTCTTCATTTTGTATCCAAGAACATATCTTCCATGATTTATGCTGAATTCTTTATTGGCGTGCCAAACATCGAACAACTTCCCTCAGTTTATTTGCAAGTCATTTGAGGCAAAAGGTTAACTCTCACAAGCAGTAAGTGACTGCATCTCCATCCAGCTTACATGTGAAGAGCAAACAGTCCCAGCAGCTCCAGTTAAAGCTCTTTGATCAGGACAATGGCCACTGGTCTCTGATATGAGCTGCTGGCTACCACGGCAGTAGTGCAGGTGATCTCGCAGCCCCAATGTTTGCACTCAAATCAGGAGCGAGAGGTGTGAGGGTCTCCCACACTGCCGAGGTGAACTGAAGGCCGCAATTAAATTGCACACAAACGCACACTGGGTGGTCATTTATATGTGTAACTAATTATTTATAGATCACTTTTCATACATTCAAATCTACCCACAAGGTAATTAACTAAATAGTCATTTTAATTAGAAAACAAAATAATTTATTAAGAATATTATTTTACAAATAAAATACAATTTTAATGCAGAGTTCCAGTTAATTAATGTCTAACTACCATTTTTTTTTTCAATGTGTACATTACTTCATCTGATACAGTTTAAACTGTAAAAAAAATAGTGTCTCAAACTGTTATATAATGCATAACTGTGCATCTAACATGGATTACGGGCTTTGCATTATTTGTACCTGGAAGCGTCGATCTTGGGAGCAGAATTTCTCTCCTAGGATGGCGTAAAATGCGTTGAAGGTTTTCTCCTGCAGGCAGCAGTCCATCAGAACATGGACGATCTCTCTCTCCTGCTTGTCCTTCAGACCCATTCTTCACCAAGAAAAAAAACACAAAGAGTTCTAGCATGAAGTGAGCCAAACTACTGAAAATAGTAAATTATGATTCTTTTGGAGAATTGAACCCAATGAAAGGACAATTATGTGGGCCAAAACAAACCTCAACAACTTCTCGAAAGCATCCAGGTAGTCCTCGCTGGTCATAAGGACACAGAAGATGTTTCTCCTGACCTCAGTGTTCATCCTCTGCTTCCTGGCCAGCTCTAACACTTTCTGGCTGAACTGAAGGAGATGGAAAACAGTAAAAGGGAGAAAAGAAATTAGCATTGTATGTTTGGGTTTGTTTATGTGTTTGGCTTCAACACAGGATTGTAAACATGAGGTCCAGCTCAACAGTGTTTGGCATCCTTCTCAAATGCAAATGTAAAATTTTATTATATTGAATTGCACCGAGTAAACTGTTACGTTTGTGTAGGTCTGTGATAGAACACATTTAATTAGGATTTCCACCTCTGGCTGGTTTGTTATTTTTATATATTTGCAAGAATGGGAAGATTTATTGTTTCTTTTTATACTTAGCAAAAATGTTCAATAATATTAAAACAGAATGTGCAGTAAAAAAGGAACTTCTTCCTCCTAAATTTTCCAATTAAAAAGCTTCATCATAATCATAATTTTTAGTAACTATAAAGGAATTTCTAGGCATTTACCAACAACTTCTCTTTATTTTTGTACTTTTGTTGTGTACTATTCTCTAGGCTTTTGTCTTTCTGTCTTAACATTCCTTTTTAAATAAATATGTCTTTAGAAATAGACTAAATAAGATATTACATGTTAAAAATCCTACCTCAATCTAATTTGATACAATTAGACTTACTGTTGAAAATAAAAAAGAAATAGAACAGTGCCTTATTATTACCAGCAAATCCAATTTGAGAGCATTTGAGCTGTATTGGCATATGGATTTCAGATTTCTGATATTCAGGATATTCCTATCATAGAGAAGAAGTTTTGAATTTGAGTAGTGCCCACATCACAATAAGGTTTAAACTGGTATATTATGGGCAGGGAACAACAGAACTGGTAGAGAATTTTAATTATTCAATTCTAATTTCAGAATAACATCTGGTCATTTTTAACTGAACGTGAAGTCAATGTATAGTATTAGGTTGACTTTCTGGACTCTGAGCTGATACATGTTATATCACCTTACCGTGCCAAGCAAAAGTATTTACAACTCTTGAATTTATCCACATCACTTCGCATAGCGATCAAAATGTTAATGGATTTTACCAGACTTCTTAAGTTACAAACAATAACAAAGTGGTACATAACTGTATAAAGATGAACGAGTAGGATATGCATTATTAAATTTTTTTTAATAAATAAAAATCCAGGTGTACTTTGTAGCTTGAGTGATTTAATCGGTAAATAGTACAATACTGTTCTGTAAAGGCCTCAGAAGTTTGTTAAATGGCGATGCAGAGGAAGTAAGCAGATGGTACTAGAAACCATATGAAAACATTGTTATAGATTTGAGTTAAGTTATTCCCGTCATTCACATAATATTTCATGGTTCTGTTAATCTACCTGTCCCTCAGCAGCACGCTGCTTTGAGGTTGTGTCATCCTGCTTGCTGATCATCGGCGCTCCACTCCACGACGAGCCAACGATCCACCAGCGGCCCACCTGCTCCGCTTTCAGGATGTTCTCCAGAGACACCCTCAGTTTCAGGTCACTGCCTGCAGCACTGCTGCGGATCTGGGGATCAAACATTCACCAGCAAGTAACATTAAATTCATCTTAAAGGATTACAATAAAAAAGATCCCACAAAACAGGTAGGAATTTTAATCGTTTCCAAAAAGTCACGTTGAATGTAACAACAGCACTGATGACCGAGAATATGAAAGTTGGACTCTGGTGCCAACTGTTGGTAACATAAAATACTGCAAGTGAAACAATTAAAAAGATTGCACTAAGGAAAACTGAGGAAGTAGACTGAAATATTTTACAGATCTAGATAAGTATGGAAAAACAGAGTACAGAAACATGTTTAGATTTCAGAACTTTGTTCTCTAGTGCATTCTCTGAAAGGTGTATTCATCTGTTCATCCATTTCATACCAACAGTTTGTGTTGATGCCTATTAAACTTCTGTTTATATTTTTAAAAATTGGAAAAAATGAAATCTAAAGACAACCCTGCCAACCTGACAGCAGATTCACCGACGTCAGCCCGACCTACCAGGGTCCTCTGCAGCTTCCTCAGTCTCTCCACAGGCTCCGGATCGTACCCTGGGATCTTCCTCATGTCGTTGTTCTTTAAAGCCAACATGGTTTCCAGCATGAATCGCACCTGGAGATAAAGTAACGAGTCTTTTAGCAGCCTTCTAGGTTTAGAACATAAAAACAAAATTAATGTAAAAATGCAATGATCAACTTAAGCAAAACTGATGTTATGAAAGTGAGTTTTGTGTGAAGGTAAATCATTTTGCACGGCCTACCCTGGTTTGATCCTTGAACTTTGCTCCAATGTCACTGGCCTTGCGCTGAGCGTCAGAGATGAGCTCCTTGAGAGCGAGCGCGTCGTCCTTCCTCAGGGCAAAGCCGACGTTCCTCAGCACAAACAGAACCAACTCGATGTCCTTCTCTGAGAAAGTTCCCACCAGTAGCTTCAGGATGTCAAAAATGAGGACAGAATGCACCACCTGGAAGTTGTAGAGGTGAGCGACGATGGCGATGAGGTTGTCGCACTCTTTGTCCTCGCTGGAGTTCTTGTAGACCTCGTCAAACCTCCGCACGACTGTCTCGAGAAAATGGGCTCCGACCTGTGATGGGATACGAGACGGTGCAAATGGCTGGAGTCAGAGAGTATATACCCATTTTCCAGGTATGACAATACCATACAGTCATAATTCAGTCCTCTTTGGAGATGGGCATACAGATGAATGAACTGACAGATGGAAAGGATGGACGGAGGGATGAAAGGAAGGAAGATGGACGGATGCATGTGTGGATGGGTGCATATTTTGTTTTAAAACACCAGAAAATGCAGATTGGAAGTAAAAAAAAAAAAAAAAAAAGAAATAAAATAAGAAATATTTACCATGCCGACATTAAGACTGGGAATACAATCTGAAAATATGAATTTATTTTCAAATGCCATATTTACCTAAATCTGGAAAACCCTTTAATAAATTTCAACCTGTTACAGACGGAGGAAACTTGTGGGATAATACCGAAGGAAAATTAAACCATGATTTAAAAATCCTTACCCTAGTCATTGATGACAAAATACTAAATTAAAATCAAACCTGTATGAATATATTAAATAGCTGGAAGAAATAGTCACTGCTTTTGAGTTATTTCAAAAAGATTTTAACTCAGAAGTTAAAACATGTAGGGAAAGTAGATACTTTTGAAAACTGAACCAAACCAATAACAAAATATCCAAAGTTAATATGAAGAAAAAAAGAAAAGCATCTGCTTCTCACAAACTGCAGCAAAGGCATAAACATAAATGCAATACCACAAAGAAAAATGAAATTCGCCAGTCTGTATGACGTCCGTGTTCCTCTCTCTCATGTCAAATCTAAAATATTCGAGGCAAAGAACTGAAGGGCCTCACCTCCAGCCCCACAGCGTGATGGAGGATGCTGACAAGCAGCACGTGCTCCATCAGCAGCCTATCGGGCATCAGGGTGGGAGTGACGCAGGCTGCCAGCAGAACGTCCGTCAGCGTGTCGTTCATGTCCTTCCTGCTGCAGCTCATGTACAGCTCCTCCAGCTGACCACAGATAGAGGCCATGTTGGCCTCGCTCAGCCTGAAAACGGCACGTTGATGAGAATAAAACACATCCCTGAGAATGGTGATTCTAGTTTAGGAAACTGAGAGGAGGACAGGCTGCAGGTTTATTATCAGTTGTCGCCATCAGGATTTCGTCATGTAAACCGTGAAGGGAGAAAATTCATGAATGTTTGAAGGGCGGTGAGGACTGCAGTTGATGATTGGATTAATAAAACATAACTGTAGAAAAAAATGAAGACATGTTAATAATTAAGAGATTGTTTGTTTTTATCCAAGGCATCCAGGTTGAGTGAGTTATCTACAACTTACAGAAATAAAATGTACGGTAAACCAGAACTAATGTTTCAAAATTCTGACTTTCCTAGAACTGGATAATAACCCAATTTATGAATGTGCAATGGAGAATATATACTTTTTTGTTCTTTCAAAGGAATTTAAGGGTTTAAGAATTCAGAACTTAATTGGCTAAGGTATGGTTAGGGATGCAGTTGATATTGTTCTTAAAAAAATCACAGAAATAAATAATACATGGCATCCTTCAAATGATGGCCCAAGAATTTACAATCCACATATATGGGTTATGGGGAAAAACACAACGTCTTGAAATTTTCTTAGCCTGACACTTGAAGGATTAGAGATTCAGACAAATCATTACCATTTGTCATGTTTAAGGCATTAATTAAAGCAAATTAGAAGGACATGACATAATAGTTCAAGCGCAAGCTTTAACAGAGCGTTTTTGTGTTCAAGTGAAAATGTGGTGCTAAAAATGAGAGGAACCTGAGAGGTTAGATATTCAAAACTACATTTTCCATGTACTACCGTCTGAATCATTTGTGCTGCTGCAGCAGAGTGTTACCTGTTCAGCAGGCCTTTCACTTTCCTTTTCAGCTTTTCAAGCTCAGCTTTGCGTTTGTCATCTGTGATATTTCGCAGCTGAGGTGGGACATACTTGCCAGTTATTGAGGTGGCCTTTAAAAAAAGTAATAAAAAATTTCAGCAAAAATGCAGTTCACAGCTTTTTTAATGATAAAAACATAACACAATAACTAATTATGAAACAAGCAACAAAATTATGCAAGTTAAAATCTACACTCACAATTTCCGATCTTTGGTCAGGATGGGAAGCTTCTTCGTCACTTTCCTCCTCACTTTCAGCTCCTGAAGCAGCATCAGCTCCACTTTCATTCATATCATTCTCGTCACCCATCTCCTCCTCTTCATCTTCCTCACTCCCCATCTCCTCCTCTTCATCTTCCTCACTCCCCATCTCTTCCTCTTCAGCATCATCACTTTCCTCACTCGCTATGTCATCCTCAGCTTCCCCATCTTCATCTGACAGAAGAGAGTCATCCTGATCCAGTTTTTCAAAGTTCTCTCTTGCAGTGTCCATATCCTCATCTTCATCAAACTCACCGTCGTATATCCCTGCTCCAGATGAGCTGGAGTCGAGGACTCCAAGGATGTAGTCCAGTCCATCGGTCACAAAAGACTGAGGGAGACTTTTCTTGTTTTTCCTTTTGTTTAATCCAAGACATCGCTCCAGCTTTTTTATCTCTCTGTCCTCTTGTTCATTTGCCTCCAGCAGTGCCATTTTTCTGGATTCTTGAAGCTTGTTAATTTTCTTGCCTTTCTTGGAGGAGGATTTAGGTCCAGATGACTCCGTTTTCTCTTTAGGAACCTCAGGGTGCTTGTTTGAAAGGGTTTTTGTCACTTCTCTTTTTATTTGATCAGTTTTCTTCTTCTGGGTCTGGTGCTTATTTTCAGATCTGACTTCCAACTTTCCCCCAACATCTGAGGCAAAACTGACGCTCTTTTTCCCTTCATAGTGACTTTTCATTTTGGCTTTTTTCAGTCTTCTCTTTTCTTTGCGTAACTCCTTTCTGCTTTTGGTTTTCACGGATCGCAGCCTCTGGTCTCTGTCTGCTTCTTCATGATCACTAATATTTTTAACAAACTCATCCACCGCACACATATACTTCTGTAAGACCGCATTTCCCTTCTTCTTGTTCTGTTTCCTTTTCCCCCCTTTCATTTCTACAAACAGTCTGGAACTGAACAAGGTTAGCTTAACAAAGTTAATTCAGACCGGCGACACGAAAACTTAACGTACGAATAGTTGCAGTCAACATAAGTAGCTAAGTAATATGTTTCCTATTTTTGATCAAATAAAAACCTGAAACTCCACATGTGTTTCCATGAGGGCAGGTTTGTTGACATGACACGTGACTATTTACTTCCAGGTCGCACCTTAGGCGTAAAAAATGGCGGACGTCAGAACGTCCGCCATATTGGGAGGGGAGACGCTGGCCAGTAAATCAGTCACATAAACAGAAAAATGTTACCTAATTAAACAATATTAGGTAACATTCAGTAATTTTTTTTTCATTTCGGTAGACAGCTGAAACTTGAAGTTTACATACATCTGCACACTCAAGTTTATATAAAACACACACACGCATACGCACACGCACGCACGCACAGGAACTTACCATAACAATCATAAGTTCAATACATATAGAGCGGTATAAATATTTTTCATCTCCAGATAATTAAAAGCTTGCTTGAATATGAGCGCTGCATTACCACCATTTCCACAAATTCAGCATTTATCACAAGGTTGTGGTTTCCTAAGAAAAGTAATTAATAACTGTATTTGTATTCCTTGATTTTTTGCCCAGGGTAGTACACCACAAGGGACCCCAAAATGAGGGCTAAATGTTACCAGTTGCACACTGAATAGGTTTTTTTTTTAATGCTTCTTGCATTTCCAGTTTGTGGGAATGTGTGATGTTCTTTGCTGTCAACTATGTACTACATGATGTCAGTTGATGATGCAGAAATTTGTAACTAACCAGAGACTCCTTAAAC